TTTTTTTTTTTTTTTGAGACTGACCTGGAACTCACTGTGTAGCCCAGGCTGGTCTCGAACTCACAGTGATCCTCCTGCCTCAGCCTCCCGAGTGCTGGGATTACAGGGGTGCACCACTATGCCCGGCTCATAATTCATTTTAAATTACAATTTGCTTATTCTTTTGAGGTCTGCTTCCATAAGGAAAATGGGTGAAAAAAGTTGTACCTTTAGGTCCGAGATATGGCCAAGGAAAGTGTTTTATGGCTGTCATCGTCGACATACAATTTTGCCCCAGGGACAATGAGAGGGGATGGGGCAGTCCCTCAGTGATCCATAGAGGGGCTTGGCCAGGCTTCAACAGAAAGCCCCATAACCCGCCATGGCCTCACGAGTCTGCCAGCACCGTGGACAGCGCCGAGCTGCGGGAAGCAGCCGAGCCGCTCGCGACCCGGCGCAGAGAGCAGTGAGCTCAGGTTCTGCGGTTTCTACTCCTGGGAGAGAGCAGAGGATCAGAGTTCAATCAGGCCCAGAGTCCAACGGGGCACAGCGCGGGTCTTGACAGGCTCCAAACACCCACGTGTGTTAGGGGCTTCACAGACAGCATTTCACTTAACCTTCGGAAAACAAAATCAGAAACTTGCCAAGTTGCCCTCCACAAGCAGCACATCCTGAATTCAAATCCAAGTCTTTCAATTGCGATATTTTTTATTTTCTTGACTTGCCTTAGAAAGAGATGAGTTCCTAACCCAAGCAGGACATTTTGACTCTGCCATTTAAATCCCAGCAATATTTTGAACAAATTTACTTGAGAGGAGTAATTGAAAATACACAGATACAACAGATAAAACTTTAATTGTGTAAATTGGATAAATGAATAATAATAATTGCCCTCAGTGAAAATTTAGAAGCTATAATGGTTAAACAAGATAGTTTTTTGTTTTGTTTTGTTTTGTTTTAAGACAAGATCTTGCTGGCCTTGAATACGCCCGGCTAATAACAGAATTTTAAGTCCAAGGGATATATCAGATGTTCACTGAGGAATTTACAAGGAAAAGAAATTATTGCAGTGAAGCTACTTTTGGTGAAATCAAAACTAAAATGCACAGCCAAACTGACGATCTTGAAATTGATCAAGGACGAGTAAGCGCATGTTGTTCTCCACTTTAACCAGAGGGTGGCAGCAAAGACCAGCGGTGGAATCATCCTGGCTGTGGTTCTCACAAAGAGGTTGCCAGCACTGGAAGGCATGAGGTGCAATTCCTTGTAATTCTGTCCTGGATTGGGAAAAGAAGCTGTTTCTCAGAGCCTCGGGGATACTGTGGCTTGGGTCCTCCATAGACGATTGGAGCAGTCTGCTCATTCACAACCTCGTCTCCGGCCATCTGTGACGTTAGAGAACACGATTCTCAGCCTAGACCCTTAGGTCCCTACCAGTGTGGTGAAGAGGCTGGCATAGGCGCCCTGCTCAGCCCTGCACAGGTCAGGAGCCCCTCGCCTAGACCACACAGCCCACCCTGATCCCAGATCACTGTACCACCTCAGCTACCTTGGCTCTTTGCTTAAATCCTCCAAGCCTTAATTTGAGGACAAGGACAGACTCATAATACTTTGGCTGCCATTTCATTCAATGTTTAAAAAAATTTTTTTTCAGTACCAGGAATCAAGCCCAGGACTTTGTGCTTGCCGGGCAGGTGTGGCACCACTGAGTTACACCCCTGGCCCTTCCTTGCCATTTCAAATTCTACAGAGCACCGGCAGCTGAAAGATATCTTGTGACTCCTATGGTTCTAAAACTTGTCTGGACCTAAGTCATCTGGTGGTAAAACTGGACCTTAGGTGAGGCAAGTGTATTACAGTCTTTATTGATCCCGCAAAGTGGGTGCCTGTACATTTATTTTTCTGCTGCAGGGATGAATGTATTTGAGCATGGGGGCTACCCAGGTCCCATGGGGAAGTTACAAAAGGTCCTGCATAAACAACACATTCACATTTTATGTTTAAAATCGTTGAGATTCTGGTGCCAAGAACCATAAGCCCCAGGGTCTCAGATAAGGATCTGTGGTTCACTGGTGTCAGGATCAGAAGGTAGTGGGAGACACAGGACACTGACACCCAAGGCAAGTGACGAGTCATGCCATCCATTAGGACTGCAGCTGTGTGAGGTGAGTCCTGCTCTCTCCTCCACCCCACTCTGCACACCCCACATCTGAGACTGTGGACGAGGCCCCTGGGTCCCTACTCACTGGAGCAGACTTGCTCCCTTGGTTCCTCAGAAGAGGGAGAGGTGGTTTCTGGGAGCCCCTCACACCTCCACTCCTGGGGTCCTGGAGTCACTCTGTCTCCTTCCCTTCCCTGTGTTAGTGGCTGGGGACACAGCCCTGCAGGCAGGGAAGCCCGGCCCTGTGTCTCTCTAACCCACATGGGGGCTGAAAACTGGCAGCTTTCAGCTCCCTGGGCCAGGCCCCTTCCAGAGGGGTTGATGTGGCCCAGGAGAGGGGCCAGTCACAGAGATGACTCCCTGAACACGGGGTGGTGATGCTGTGAGGTGGGGTCAGAGGTCAAAGGTCAGAGGTTAGTCTCCCTGGGCTGAGGAATGGCTGGAGGTCAGTCACTTGGGTGGTGCTCTGGCACTGTCACAATTGCACAGTGTCCTCCTTGTGTCCCTTCTTAAGGGCACTCAGGATTGAGCTGAGCCACCTTTTCCTACTTGCTGTGGTTCCTGGGTTCCACCCATCTCTGGCCTTGCTGGATCATCCTGGTTTTCTTGGGGACACCATCTCCTTCATACCCTCCCTCTCCAGGGTCTCTGAAAGCCAGCATCTGCTACATGCCCAGAAGGGACCTGGTGTTCAGCCTTGGCTCTGTGCCACAGACAAGACTGTTGCCCCCAACCCCACTTGATGCCAGGAACTTCCCACTTCCAAGGCCTCATGGGGCCCTAGGTAGCTGGGCTCCCCATTTCTAGCTGGCATTTAACCAGCACCCCACCTTGGTCCCTGCCTCCCAGGGAGGGAAACAGACTGGATCCAGTCCACAGACTGTCGCATGGCAACACCAAAGCCAGGGAAAAGTGGCAGCCAAAGCAGATAAGAAGCACCGGCTAGCTGGGGTGGAGTCCAGAGTAAGGGGCACCTCTCCCTGCCCTGGGCTGGCACAGCCCTGCCTTCTCCTTTCTGACTCCCTCTGTCTGGGGGGCGGCTCTCTGCATCCTCCTGCAAGGCTAACCCCTCACTCCAGCCACCCGAGTAGGGTCTTTTGTGGTTGTCCTTGTCTGGGATACGGCCTAGGCCCTCCTGAGCCTGGCATGTGCCATGGTCTGCTGCTCACTGGGGATGTTGAGAAGGCAGCTTCTGGAGTGACTTGGCCCTGCTGCTGTCCCCTGCCAGCCACCCAGGTGGCGGGACAGAGGCTTTCTGAGCTGATCAACACCGTGCAGGCAGAATGCTCCACAAGGGAGTCTGGAACTCGCTCTGTATCGAGGTCCAGGTCACACAGGCCTCTGCCAGATGGCGTGGGCAGAGCTCAAGTGAGGAAGCAGCACCGTGGCTGGCACAACCACAGGCAGAGACTGGAGACAGGCAGAACTGCTCTCAGCCACACAGCAGGGCACGGGCACCTACTGCAAAACAGGGCAAGAAGGTGGCATCAGGAATTAATCTGACACCAGCTTTAAATA